TTTAATTGATGGTTAGTGTTCTAGGGTTACGTTAAGCGACGTCGAAGCTAAACAGTACTTAGATGGGTGACCGCTTGGGAATACTAGGTGCTGTCAGCTTGAATGTTCGGGTGATATAATGGATACTAATTTTTACAATATAAAATTATTTTCTGGCTTTTAATAATCTACAAAATGGTGACAAGACATAGACTACGAATCAATAAATCAAACTATTGTGTCGTTGCTCTCCACAACTTTATATCATTTGTAGGTCTAAACCTCATTTTGTACCTTTACTGTTCTCCCGAGTTCCTGTCTTGTCATGCATGTACACGACGTGGTATAGTAAATTACTCGCGGTTTCTCTCTGTCAAATTTGACTTCAATATGTTCTGTGAGTGTCAAACTCTCCAAACCCAAATTCCTAATAAGAGATCCCGTCTCGTTTTGGAGTCTGATCTTTTTTTCGGAGGTTTTCCTTCAGCATATGAGCGATTATGGCTCTCTACAACATCTTTTCCACTCAGCTCAAAGCAGCGAATGTCTCTTTACATTAGAACGGGTTCTCATGACTTCTTCCAAAACCCGACATTATTTTCCGGACAGAAAACAGTCTGTGGCCGACGTAGAAATCGAGCTTCACAGAAGGTTTTCTGTATCTGTAAAGAACGTTGATTATTATGGCTCGCCACAGCTTCCTATATTTGTTAGCATTAAATAAATTTTGCACTTCTTCTACGCGTTACCAGTACATGTTTTACTCTACATTTATGAAATCGCTTCAGATATGCAACCCGCCGTTTCCCTCTGGCTCTTTTGCCTTCAATATATCCCCTGTGGGTAATTTCTACGAACTTCATGACGAGTTTCTGAAAATTTACCAGTCTCTTTCTGATTATAATTCCAGGTGATCATTCTAATGATTTTTTTTTAATTTAAAACTTCCTTGTTTGTCAACTGTTTCGTCTATGGTATTCTAAGCATCCGTTAGCAGAACTGTTGATCTCTAGTGTTTCAAATCACTTCTTCCTCTGTGTGGAACTTGTCCAGCAATCACTGCCATATGGATGAAACGATACGATATAGCAGCCCAAAACTCTTTACTTTCTACATAAACACCCTGAAAAGAATATCATCCGTAAAAAAAGAAGCCATTGACAGGGAGATGTGAGGGTGTAAAATCTACCATGTAAACTCCATGATAAAAGTAAGTCATGAAAAGATGAGAATGAGCAACACCACAAGTCCGGGACTGCTAATATGGAAACCCCAGCCCCTCCTGTATAGGCCTTATGTGTACGTGTGAATACTGCATACCCTCACACAGCGATCCAGCGTAAGATATTAATCTTAGATGTTGTTGAACACTGATCAGGCCAATGCCTTAGACCCGCCTCTGTTTACTAACACCTCACAAGTCTTTGACATTTTCTTCTTCTTACTAATGACACATCGTCCTTTTTTTATCTTGATTCATCTAATTGGAGGTGTCTTCTCTTTCTCCTCCACCGTCACCTTCTTCACGTCCACCGCCAACCACACCCACTCTTCCTCCTCCGAACCGACGTCATCTCCAACCGACATGTCATCAGAGCTCAATCTTCTACTGTCATCCCAAGTCTAGAACTACTGCACTGACACACCTACCCCCTCAAGCCACTCGAATTCGCCGTTCCCCGACTAACCACACCCCCAACAATCGTACCTAGCTAACTTCCCTTATCACCATCCCCATCGACGGCGCCGACGTCTCCCTCCACCATTTTTCAAATCGATCGAAATGTTACTGAGTTTGGCTTTTGTTATCTCGATTCATACTGATTGGAAACGATCGAGTGTATCGATTGATCGATACGGCTTTTGAAATGTAGGTCGCCGCTATTGAACGCGCTGTGTTTTGCAACCAATAGATTTTATATGTTTTTATGAGTAGTTTTTTTTTAATGTTATCTTAGGTTTATTTGTTTTTGTTTTTTTGTTGTTGTTGTAAAGGTGACGTGTATTTTTTTTTTTTTTTTGTTACTTCATTGAGTTGGACAATAGTTCTCACCTGTCTGCCAACATACAGACAGACATGCATCAAAATATAAAAAATGAATTTATACAGTTTTTTGTGTGTATGTCTAATAGTCATGCTGGACAGACCCCTCCCGAGTGTCTCAACCATGAATATTCTGCCTTGTTCATGTTAATCTAGAATTATTTGTACCAGGCCACAACGACTGGGCACCCAGTGAGTGCAAAATCGCACCACGATAGGCTTAATGCATATATACCAACTTCAATTTAAATCAGCGCATTTTTGACCCCAGTAAGAGGTCACAACAATAATAGTCTTCAAAATCTGATTAACTAACTCCAACCATTAGATAATGTACCTAAGGTTTTCTGAGCTAAATCTGGTAGAAGGCGAAAAATATGGGAATTCAAATATGTATTCTTTGAAAAATACACAACCCAACGAAACGGATATGGATTTTTAGTTTATTTAAAGCTTAATTATATTCCGAATTGTAAGAAAAATGCTGTTTTTGCAAGTGGATATTGTATTAAAAAAATTTTGTGTATAATAATATTTATCCTACGTCAAAGTTCTACTATTTAACACATAGCTGGGGTACACCCTCAATTACATGTTAAATAGTAGAACTTTAACAAGGGTATTTGTGCGTACTTAAATATGACGAATCCGACTGAAATTCCAAAACGTCTTTCCGATTGGGCATTGGAATTGCTTGTCTTCACTCTTCTAACATTTACACCTGGTTAGTCAAAGTCACTGATTCAAATGCACAAATAATTTCCTTTCAACAAAACTTCGCATATATAATTCTTAATTGTAATAAAACAAAACATGATATACTAATTTCTCTATAAAGTGCTAATTAGTTTCATAAGTAAAATTTTTGTGGATGTGGCGCTAATAAAAATAAAAGTTACCACAATAAATATTTAAATGACTAAAATTATTTACAGAACTAAGGAAAATGTGATTTTTAGTATAAGAAGCACCCCACAATACTAAGTGTAGCAGAATAAATACAAGATTAAAACGTAAATGACTTACTCATTCTAAGAAAGATTCATTTAATTATGCACTCATTCAAACACCCTAACAACTACAAAAACACTTCTTTTTTTCTTCTTTTCTCCTCCTTCTTCTTCTTCTCCTTCTTCTTCTTCTTTTTCTTCTTCTTCTTCTTCTTTGTACCCTTCAGGTAGTGGATTATCATGGCTACCTACACCATTTTATCCTTTGTGCTTTTGCTGTTCTCCATCTTTGTTCTGACATCCATTTACACAAACTCGTCAGTTATGTTATTCGCTCCTTTCCTCATCTATATATATATATATATATATATAAACGGTGAAACCGAACTGTAGCATTGGACATCTCGAAAGCCTTTGACGGTGTCTGGCATTTGGGTTTTCTCTACAAACTGAAAAGTTACAGGATCTGCCTGAACATTTTGAACTGATCCACTTGTTCCTATCAAACCGTGAAATGAAAGTTGTCCTCAATGGCCACTCGTCTACATCCCTTCGTAATAACGCGTGTGTCCTCCGAGGCTCTATCCTTGATCCTAAGCTGTTGTTAGTTTTCATTAACGACTTTTCTCGATGATACCAGCTTTCACCTTGTCATCTACGCTGACGACACTACCATTTACTCCTGTTTCAATAGTAAGGCTGATAAGTCCGACAAGGTCAAAATGGCAACTGATATACAAAACGACCTCAAAACCGTCGTTAACCGAGGCAAAAGATGGCTTGTCAATTTTTAACTAAACTTCTTTCCATTAATTATCTGAGAGACCCCTCTCTGCTTTTCATCAGCATGGCTTACGCTAACCCTCAGGAACGTGACTCATTACCGCTTCTCGAGCTAACGTTCTCAGCTGACATAAAATGAAAAGACTATATCATTTCCATTGCTAGGTCAGCTGCTAAGAAAATCAGTTCACAGTGTCAGACGAGACAATTCTTCTCTCGAGAATCTAACTTGCATACCTACCATTCGTCCATGTTTAGAATATTTCTGCCATATATGGTCTTGAATCTTTGCTGTTTACTTAGAGCTCCTAAGATTAATATAAGAATCAGCAATATTATTGGTTTTGATCTGGCTGCTCGGCTTCAATGACTTGTCCACCGCCGTAAAATCTGTGTCATTTTTATAAATACATTCATGGTAATTCTTTGTAACTGATTTTTATATTAGCCAATGTATCATAGACTAAGATAAAAATGAACGACTAGCTAAATACGGGGAGTCAGTGCGAAACATACTTACTTCATTAATTGATACCTGTGCGACTAACCTGCTAATATTTACGCAAGAATGGGGCCCCCAAGATATGAATTAAACTTGACATAGTTTAGTACAAGGCTACCAGAAATGAAACCCCAAAAACTCAAGACTGAACCAGTCTCATTAATTTCTCTGTGGGACAAACCTTCTAACTATCATGATTCAACGGAACTGTTTTTCATCTTTCTTTTTTTATTATTTTTACTTTCTGTTCTGTGACGAGAGAGATTGTTTTCGTTAGATATATTTTCCCGCCTGTTTTATATTTAAAAAAAAAAACTGTTAAGTTCGATATTAAACAATATTTTAGTTGATGCGACACAAATATAAGCACTTTTATATCGATACGCGTTTGCGTTTTTTAATTTGATTTTTTGTTGGTGTTTGTTTGTTTGTTTTTTCGTTCCAACAAAAAAATCCGTGGCGTATAGTTAGAGAGTTGGGCAAAATGGCCGCTTTTATGAATGTGGCAATGAAAAATCTGCCGAAATTTGAAGAAATGATGTAAGAAAAGTAATAAAATGACAGGCATAAAACGTGTTAAGGAACAGATAAGTAAATGATTCTTTAGGTTTGCATAATGTAGTGTCTGTGCGTGTTATTGAGAGGAATAACGATTATTTTAGACTTAACAAAGATTCATTAGAAAAGAACGCGTCATCTTAACTGTATAAGGGAAAAAAATTCATTTTTTATAATTTATCTT